GTCCCCTGACTGTTATAAAACATTTTATCATCGTTTGTTTACATTTCCTTGTTGTGATGATTTTCGGTTTCACAATCGTGCATTTTCCGTAAAATGCTTATATTCTTACGTCATCGTTCAATGACGTCGGGTAGCTCATTCATAAAAAAAGCATATGACGTGGGAGTATGATTGGAACAGCTCAAACAATATATTCTGACATATTTTACCACGGGCGTGTACTCAAAGCATTTGAAGAAAGTCATATTAAAAAATGTATTAGAACAATACAAAAACTACAAATCCTGCTGGTTACCACTTGCTGTTGATTTTCTTAAATAGGTTTAATCAACAAATGTTATTCAAATTAAGTGATTAAGTGCAGTCACATGGTGCTTGTTGAAAAAAACAAAACCAGATATAAGCCAATGTATCTATAGAGATGTTTAATTGGTGACCAAAATTTAATACATGTGACATTTTTATAATAAATAATTTTGGAATGTATGAAACACATATATATACTTATATCTGCACCCAATATTGATGCTATTTTACGCCATGGTCCTATCAAAGTTATATATATACATGTACTACATGTACTATATAGTGTTCTAGTTTTTTTCAGAATCCTCTTAAAAATAGAAATTTCCACATCATGAAAAAAGACATCATTCTAAATCAAATACTCCCAATCCTCAGCCTTAACATGCTTAATATTACATATTTCATTATATATAATTATTTTAGTAAAGGCCAGGATTAACTGGGACTGGTAATAATACATGTATATGGTTACATGTACATGCATGGGGATTGCTGGTTACAATGATTACCTTTTTCACTGAAGAATCTCTCTAGTGCTCGAAAAGCTGGTATATGGTTTGGCCGCACAATGTCATGAAGATACAACTTGAACGCCATGTAGCCTTTCAAAAATATTGATGAGGAAGAAAAAGAAAGACTGGGACTCCTCCATCCAAAATATACTTTGCTATGATCACTGAAAGACTGGCCAGGCAAGGCTGGATTTGCCATTTGCGAGGGTCGCGGCACTCCAGCATTGACTGCTTGCAGCTCGTAACCTTTACTTGCATAAATATAATGATGAATTCTCTCTTTTAATAGTTCTTTCTTGGCAGGAAGAAGAATGTTTTCAGTGGAATGATGTAAAGTGTGTCTGATAGTCAGCAGGACATCACATGTGTTTTTTACACTAATGTTATGTTTACCACCGAGCTTCATCAGAATCTCCATAGTGGTTTGAATATGTGCGCGTGTTTTTGATGTTGTTAAATGTATGTTTCCTCCACTAGCTGGAGAACTGTAATGCGGGGTATACAGTGGGGGTATATAATTATGATATACGACACTTTACTTGCAGTGTCATGAGCTCACATTTGTCTTTCAATCATTCGTCATTTAACACAGAGTCCTTCTTTCTTTCTTTCTTATGTATAATCCAGTCACTATATTCTGCTCACTACGACCTAGTCCAAATAATTATGATGTCTTGAAAGGCTATTTTATTTTTTTTGCTTTGACGCCTTACAGCGACATACGACCATGTCCTCTTACGGGAATGGTTTGGTCGTAGTGAGCAGAATATAGTGACTGGATTATTCGGGTTAGTAATATTCAGACGTGAGCCTCCTTCGTATATATACCAGAAAACAATCGGAGCATGTCGACACATCTGTACTGTACAGGTATGATCTTCCATTATATATCGGTGCACTTCCACTTAGGATATACAGGTTTAACACACTACAACAAATATTTACAAGGATATTTACATAGTGTGAAGGGGTGCTAAAATTTAAAAGTTTTATATAAGTTAGTGATCTTTATTTAAAGTCGGGTTGCATATATACATAATAACAAGGAACATGAGCTCTTTTAAAAGAGCTCTTTAAGCGACTGATATTACATGTAATAACATCAGATACATATACAACACAAACATACAAACAGCACATAATGATGTATTAATACATAGATAGCCGGCACATGCAAAATAAAAGCTAAGCAAGATATACATTGTATATTAAAACAAATGTCAAATATCAGCACATAAGAGCACACAGTATCTAGATCCAAATAAGCGGCACAAGCAAAAGACTGCAAGCAGCTACAGCACAGGTAATGCATAAGCAAAACAAATAAGAAATAATAAATTAAAATAAAAAAAACAACGGCAGGCTTCAAAGTTAGGTTATGGGGCAGCAAGGAGTTAAATTATTTACAAGAACTGCAGGTACAATTTTCTGAAAAACACCAGGTAGAAATAAAATTTTTGAACTGGCCAAAAGTTGATATTAAAGCTCCTTGTCTCATTTGACAAGGAGTTCCAGAGTCTTGCTGCCTCATAACTAAAGCTTTTCTTACCATACCTTGTTGTTTTTGGCCGTGGTATATCCGCTATGCCTGTGTACCTAAAATTATATGAATTTCTTTAATGTTTATTAAATTATGTAGGAATTTCGGACTTGATATTTATTAATTATTTTGTAAGTCTCTAATGCAATAGTTCTCATTCTTCTGATTTTTAGTGTTGGTAGCTTAGACTGTTCAAGGAGTGTATCGTAAGAATTTTTGTAGTCGTCATAAATAAATATGAGTGCTCTTTCTTGTATTTTTACTATTTTCTTTGTGTTTTGTTCACTGCAGAAGTGCCATGTAAGAGGACAATAGTTGAGGTTTGACAAGATAAATGAGTGGTATACTGTAAGTTTAAAAAGTCTGGTGAGATGAGTGCCGATTCTTTTTAGTACGTATAGTTGTGCAGCTTTTTTACAGTTGTTTGAGATGCGAGTGTTGAAATCCAGTTTAAAGTCTATTGTTACAACAAGAAGTTTCACTTCGTCGTCACATTTTATGTTGAATCCATTTAGGTTGGAGACCATATTTTGAGTGTGTGTTTTTTTACCTATGGCAATTGCCTAGAATTTTTCTGGGTTTGCCTGCATTTTGTTGAAGGAGAACCATGATGTTAGGGGTTACTATATCTTCCTCTAAGGGTTTAATTACTGATTCAAAAGTAGTACCTGATTTAGAGAGGGTGTTATCATCAGCATAGCTATATAATTCACAGTGTTTGACAAAAAGAAAGATGTCATTTATATATATATTAAATAATACAGGGCCAAGTATATATCCCTGAGGAACACCTTTATAGATATCTTGCATTTTACTGATACTCTGACCTATTTTTACACACTGTTTTCTTGTTGTAAGATACCTTTTTAGCAATCCAAGAGCAGATGGACTAAGGCCATATTTTTTCAATTTACAAAGAAGTAGATCGTGTGGAAGACAGTCAAAAGCTTTACTGAGATCCATATCAATACTGCTGCTAAGTATTTATTATTATCCAGTGCCTTTTTCCAATCTTCCAAAATTTCAAGTAATGTTGACTGACAGCCATAGCCTGATCGAAAAGCCGCAAGGAAATGGTAAAAAATATCATCAAAGTATTTAGTAAGTTGATTTTCTATGCCGGGCTGTACGTTTCAAAATTTGTTATATATCATGCAAGAATAAGAATGAAATCATTATATACAGATGAGAACTGTGGATTTTCATGAGAAAAACTTTAGAACAATATTTTTTTATATAAGAGGGTCGTAATGGGGTACCGTCATGACGAATAACGGTAAAAAATCTTTTCAAACGTTAACTTAACGGTAATTTTTGGTGCATGACGATAAGATGTACACTTTCTTTATGACGATCAAATAATAGACTGATTTTGACGAATCACGTTAAATTCTTTCCAAAATAACGGAAACGGTTAATTATTTTAGACCTCTGACGAATCATGATAAGGATATTTTCACAAATCACGATAAAATTTTAACCAATTTGACGCTAACGGTAGCCGAAAATGACCGTTTGACGCTAGACGGTAAAAGGCATTCCTACTCTCATATAAGGCCAGTTCTTGAATATGCTGATGTAGTTTGGGATACATCTGTATTAATTTTAATTCATAAAATAGATTTCAAGCGTCCAAATAGAGGCAGCAAGGATTGTGACTGGAGGAACGAAAAATGACCGTATTTCCTCTCATCAACAGTGAAATACTGGAACTCGCAGACTATTAAACTACAAAATAGTCCGTCCCTTCTAGCCTTTAAAAAATTATTTAAAAAGTAACCGTGAAACTAAGCCTGTATTTTATTATTGTGGTTCCCGGTCTGGTCAAATATATCATGCAAGAATAAGAATGAACTGTACATATAGCGGACTCAACATTTGCGGAGACAAAGAAACAACGGAACACTGTTTATTAAAATGCAAGATATCCAATGTACTTCTTCAAAGACACATATACATAACCTATAGAAATTCCAATAAGAATTTCCACTGATGTTTTACTTTTTGGTTCCTATAGAATAACAGTAAATTAATATACACTCATATTCAAAGCTGTGCAAATCTTTATTATGGGTAGCACCCGTCGATTTACATCCACAATCTGATAATTCTATTCATTCACTCCTCCCTATAATAAAGAAATATTGTCCCTTTCTTTAATAACACTCATTTTTCTAAACACCTTTAACCCCCTTGCCTTTGCTGTTTTTTTTAAATAAATTATTAATAACAGCAAATAAAGAACTTTCTTTATATCATTGAATTCATTATAAAAAAGAAGAATGTGGTATGATTGCCAATGAGACAACTCTTCACAACTGACCAAATGACACAGAAATTAACAACCGTATAGGTCACCGTACGGCCTTCAACAATGAGCAAAGCCCATACCGCATAGTCAGCTATAAAAGGCTCCAAATGACAAATGTAAAACATTTCAAACGAAAAAAACTAACGGCATAGTTTATGTACAAAATAATGAACGAAAAACAAATATGTAACACAGCAACAAACGACAACCACTCTCCTGACTTGGGACAGGCACATGCAGAATGTGGCGGAGTTAAACATGTTAGCGGGCGCCCAACTCTCCTAACCTGGGACAGTGGTGTAACAGTACAACATAAGAACAAACTATAATAAAACGCTCCGCTGGGCGCAGCTTGATACGACCGCAGAGGTCGAACCCTGGACAGTTGGGGCAAGTATGGACACAACATTCAAGCTTGATACAGCACTGAATTTGGATTGTGATTAAATATTTGACACAGCATAGGTTTCTGACACAGAATGAATGTGGTCTAAGAACTTAAAAATTTTTAATTTACCTATTCAAATCATATCATTATTATTTGCTTTTATATATAAATCAGAAATAACCAATTTGAAATGGAAAATTTTAGAGAAAAAAAAAGAAAAAAAAGGAAAAAATCCCTCCCCCAAATTTTTTGAACCCCCTTATAATTCATCACCCCCCAAACTCAACCCCAGTCTTCCCTTTGTGGTATGGTACCTTGCAGTACAATTTCAGAGAGATCCATACACTTGAACACAAGTTATTGTCTGGAAACTAGAAAAATGCTTGTTTTTAGGCCCCTTTTTGGCCCCAAATTCCTAAAAGTTTCGGGAAATTACCCCCAAACTCAATCCCAGCTTTCCCTTTGTGATATGTAACCTTGTAGTACAATTTCATAAAGATCCATACACTTACACACAAGTTATTGTCCTGAAACTAGAAAAATGTTTTTCTCCCCTTTTTGGCCCCTAATTCCTAAAATTTTGAGGCAATTACCCCCAAAATCAATCCCAGCCTGCCCTTGGTGGTATGGTACCTTGCAGTATAATTTCAGAGAGATCCATACACTTGAACACGTTATTGTCTGGAAACTAGAAAAATGCTTATTTTTGGCCCCTTATTCCTAAACGTTTTGGGCAATTACCCCCAAACTCAATTCCAGCTTTCCCTTTGTGATATGTAACCTTGTAGTACAATTTCATACAGATCCATACACTTACACACAAGTTATTGTCCTGAAACTAGAAAAATGTTTTTCCCCCCTTTTTGGTCCCTAATTCCTAAAATTTTGAGGCAATTACCCCCAAAATCAATCCCAGCCTCTCCTTTGTGGTATGGTACCTTGCAGTATAATTTCAGAGAGATCTATACACTTGAACACGTTATTGTCTGGAAACTAGAAAAATGCTTGTTTTTTGCCCCTTTTTTTGCCCCTAATTCCTAAAATTTTGAGGCAATTACCCCCAAAATCAATCCCAGCATTCCCTTTGTGATATGGAACCTTGTGGTACAATGTCAGAGAGATTCATACACTAACACACAAGTTATGTCTGAAAGTTACCAAAATGCTTATTTTTGGCCACTAATTCCTTAACTGTTGGTACCATAACCCCCAAAATCAATCCCAACCTTCCTTTTGTGGTATTGAACCTTATGGTAAAATTTCATAGAGATCCATTCACTTAAACTAAAGTTAGAGTGCGAAAACCAATGTGTCTTCGGACGACGACGACGACGACGACGCCAACGTCATACCAATATACGACCGCAAAATTTTGTTGCGGTCGTATAAAATCAGTTGGAAAAGGCTTAACTTATCAGATGGATACAAATAGAAATACATCTAACAAAAACACGCGTAACAAAAACACAGTGGATTATTGACTGTATTTTGTTACGTACATATTCCTTTGCTATTCAGCATGTTAACATACTTAGTTTCGTAATTTTATTTTTGGATTTAGGGAGACAGATTGTTTCCTAATCCCAATAATTGAATTACTTGTATATTTCGATTGATATCTTTTCTCTTGTAGCTATACATATTGATTTCTTTAATAAAATATGTTTACATTATCTGTGGATTTTCAAACAAGTATATGGGTCATTTTCAAAAAAATGTCTAATTTTCAGAACACCTATGTTAAAATTTTTTTTTTCATGGAAAAGACAGTTGTGAGTGTTTAAATGAAAGTATTTTGATAAGATTGAATCCGATTTTTGCGTAATTTATGTGCGTACAGTGTCAGGGTAACACATTTTTTCCTAGTTTCTTATTGCCTTGTTGATATCTGCAAAGGGAACTATTATAGAATGTTAATGATAACTCTAATGAAAAATCACAGCTTCTTTATTATTCTATGTAATATTTTTTTCTACATACTAAATTCAATCGGCGTACATTAAGTTCATGTCCATCCTGTTACCGACACTAGATCATCCGTTAAATTGTTTCTCCCTATGAATATAGAACTATTTAGCGATGATTTCAAAAGTACGAAGCATCCTAAAAATTTATCACAGCACGTTTCTGGCCTAACAATGCAGAGATAAGGACATTTAGTGATAAAACATAGTGGGTACCCTTTTATCATGTCTATGCTGTTACCAACAAATCTATTAATTACAAAAATAATATACTTGTAAAAAGCAAAGGTACTTGTGGACAGGAAAATTTTTTAAGCCCTCCCACTTTTTTCCAAAATCCGTTATTTTTTTGTTTTCTAATAATTTCAATTATTTTCTCGTTTTTCTGTATGATACGAGCATAAATATACTAAAAATAACTTGTATTTGCTATTCACTATCAATTACAAATTTACTATCCACAGCTGTCACTGATATATAATAGCAGTCCAAAATCACAACAGACTGATAACATGATCACTGCATCTGAGGGAGTAGTTATTTCACAACATTCATAAATGAAGAAATTTGTCTATCTTGTTACTATGGTTATTATGATTACAGTAACAGGATAGACAATATTTGACTAAAAGATCTCTAAAAAGTATATAAGTACATAAAATTTTACACATAATGAAATGTTTGGTTGTTTGAAATCATTTAAAAGTTACAAAGTCTTAATCTTCGCAATTTAGCATTACAAAATGCAATACTGTTATCGGTTACAGAATAGACAAAAGGGTAACAGTATAGAACTTAATATGGTGATATATCGTTGATGTACGTTCCTGTTACCAAAAACAAAACGACAAAAGTAAACCAAAAACTTGATGCTGGGTTTATTAAAAAGAAGAAAAAAATGCTGAACATTATGAATTGCTATCTTAGACTTACGTTACTAGTGGTTAGTTTTCGGTCCTTATAAATCCTTGGCTTTCAAATGTTTGGCTTTGAGCGTTCCTGATGAAGGTCAGAAAAGCGCTTCGGACGCATGAAATTTATAACGTCTTGTTTTCATTTTTTATAACCATTGAAAACCAATTTTTAGAGGTATTTTTCAGTACATCATGGACAATTGACAAATAATCTATCATTACACAGAATGAAAATATATAGAAGCGTTTACTCTTGAAAACTATCTTATTGACCATGAAAAACAAGCTTTAAATTTTATCAAAATCTTTTCTAAATAACTTAAAATATCTTTTGAAAATGGTAACAGGCGAGACAAAATAGTGCACAACCTATCGTAAAATGTTTCCATATATTATTGTATGACATTTTCAAGATTGCATCTTCTTATATGTTGTTCCATCAGTATTGTTTTTATTAAATTTTGCAATATCAAAATTCGCCATTTTTTTAAATGACCCAGATGGGCTTAGATAAGTCTAGCTGGGAACAAAGATTTGTATATTGCATCATACTAAACCCCAAAACAGTAAACGGAGAAAGCCATGAAGAACCGATACATAGTTTAATCTAGCCAACGACATGTCCGATAGAATTAAATCCACTATCTGTCTATTCGCAGATGACACTATAACATACCTTAGTTACAATATCAAACGACATAGATTCGAACGACCTACAAAAAGATCTAGATAAACTTGAAAATAACCGTCATTTTCACAATTTTCTCTGGTCTACAAGGTGCAATCATCCATCAATCAGTCTGAAAACTTCTGTAAATCATCTTGTAATTTGGGTCAACATCTTTAATTGTTTTTCCATAGGCTGTAATGGTAACATTTTTTCTTGTAGCTCAGTCCATACGGTAAACTTGGATATGTATGATAGCTCGTTTCAAAGCTGTGACATTTTCACATGTGGTTAAATTTTCGGGGTACGAAGTGAGATTACTTTTTCTGTAAATTAGCATACCCCGAACATCCTTTCGTGATGAGGCTCCTCGTGGTAAAAAATCCGTTTTTTAACGCAATAAGTTTTTTGAAAATTTAATACTTTGAACACATTTAATAGCCTTCCACCCAGACAAGTGCAATGTACTTACCATAAGCCGAAAAAGCAATATCATTGCAACATCCTACACGCTACATGGTCTAGAACGTGTCAAAAGCGCCAAATACCTAGGTTGCACATTCACATCCGAACTGAAATGGAATGACCATGTTAATAACATATGTAACAAAGCCAAAAGAACAATCGGCTCCCTAAAACGAAATCTGAATATTGGATCTACTTCTTTAAAAGAAATTGTACACCTTACAATCAATCTAAAAACTAAATATAGTTGACATATTGCTTATACTATCTATGAAACAAACAACCATGAAAACTTAACATTAACTAATGAACCATGAAAATGAGGTCAAGTCAGATGACAATGCCAGACAGACATATACACCTTATAATCATTCCAAACACCAAATATAGTTGACCTATTTCTTATAGTTTAAGAAAAACAGAACAAAACATAAAAACTTAACACTGAGCAATGAATCGTGAAAATGAGGTCAAGGTCAAATAAAACCAGCCAGACTGACATGTACATCATAAAATATTTCCATACACAAAAAATAATTGACCGATTGCATATATTAACTTTAACCACTGAACCATGAAAATGAGGTCAAGGTCAGATGACACATGCCAGTTGCACATGCACATCTTACAATCATTCCATACAACAAATATAGTTGACCTATTGCTTATAGTATCTGAGATATGGACTTGACCACGAAAACTTGTTTACTGATCCATGAAATGAGGTCGAAGTAAGATGAAAACTGTCTGACAGACACGAGGACCTTACCAGGTACACACATGTTTGCTAAATATAGTTATCCTATTACTCCTAATAGGAGAGAAATTAACATTACAAAAAATCTTAACTTTTTTTTCAAGTAGTCACTGAACCATGAAAATAAGGTCAAGGATAAAGGACATATGACAGACGGAAACTTGATAACATAAGGCATCTATAAACAAAGTATGAAGCATCCAGGACTTCCACC